CTCTTTGTTTAATAACTTCAAATTAAATCCACTGACAATTTCAATGGCTGTGGTTCATGTTTGCCTCATCACCATCACGCTGGAAGAGACTGAGCCAAAAAGAAAATGAATCAGCCGGGCTGAAATATTTAAATTACTCAAGCAAAAATTATGGCTTTAAAATGTTATTCTCAGTTTCTACAAATCTCAGACCAACTTGTATATTTCTAGGTCTGTCACAAACCTCCATAGATTTTCATTTTGAGTTGAGTTGAAGCTGAGGATTCTGACTGCAGCTCATGCTTGGTGGACAAAACGTTTGTTTCTGCTTTTCTGCTGTTGTGTTGGCAGAGATGAACCACAGAAAGGAAACGCTGACAGTCATGTTCTGCCTCCATTCACAATGGGCTTCCTGCAAGTCTCCATCAAGAGATAAAATAAGTGAATGAAAGCTTGCCAAGCATGTGCAGCATATTAATGGCTTTGATTTGAAACGTAGGAGCCACTGCACTGAGAGAGAAAAAAGGCTCTGATTGCTCATTTTTCTCACCAAAGACCTCCTCCCTTCCATTCATGAAAAGTGCCACGTTTCACACAGTCTGATGTACTGTAGCATTTTAAACCATCTGTTCTGACTTTGAAAAAAACAAAAACAAAAAAAAAAAAATATATATATATATATAACAAATATATATGTATATATATATATATCTATATATATATATACATCAGCACACCTACAGGTGAAACTATATGTTCACATTGACTAGAAACAAACACATAACCTTTTGTTTCTCCCCATCTGACATCTACTTAAGATCAAATTAATCTTCTTCTGTTTTAAATCAGTTAAAATTGCCAAAACAATTAAATTGTTTTAAGTCTTAGAACAGGAAAGAGAATTTTACAGAATTTTGTATTAGTCTTTTTAAAGTCAGAGATTTACATACACTAATGTTATTTTTTGTTTAATTTTAAGAGACTAGTAGTTTCAGTACTACTGATTAAAAGTAAACTTATTGATGAAGATTCAACACTTTTCAGTCAAATCTATGCTATCGTGAAACCCTGATGTCAGTGCTTCCAAATTTAGACACATGCCATGTCACATGAAAGAGTAAAATAGCTGCGTGAATGCTATGCTAACAAGTGAAGTGCTAATGTCAACAAACCACCACCATGTTTGAAAACCTGTGTGCTGTTTTTACTGAAATGTTGTTCACCAGATGTAACAGGACGCACAAAAGGATCCCAAAAATCAGATTATTTTAGCTATCATTTCTTTTTACTGACAGCTGTACTGAATAGCTTAATAATCTTTAATCATTGTCAATCAAAGTTTGACCCATTGGGCAAAAAAGCAAAAGCAAAGGTTCACTGTAACAAATTTTCTTGTTAATTTGCTTTCATTGATAATCTCCTGGATGAGATGAGATTGCTCAAAGCTAGCACGCCGTGACAAGGCAAAGCAGAAAAATATCACTGGATAAGTTTCCTTGGAGAAAGCCTTTGCTTGCAACAGATCTACAGAGACTTTGGCAATGAGGTTTGAGGAATAGTTCCTCCTCCACAAAGAGGCGCATTAATCTCAACCATGTGGGAGAGGAATGAATCAAACGCAGCGTGTTTCCACGGAGCGCAGAAAGTGAAGGCCACAGCCTGTTGGCTCAAACAGTCACAAACAAACACACACATAAGTCAGACAAAGACCTGATAGCGTGTGTTAACTTCTTCACCCACACTAATGACATCTGAGGAGGTGTGTTAATATGTCATCAGCCTCTATTTATGTTCACCTGAATTACATGAGGAGACGCAGACATAACTTCCACTCGCTCTCTATATGTTGACAACTGAAGGCCATTGAAGAGAGTGAAAATCCTGCTGGAAAATATATTGAATGACAAAAAAGGACATTTATATAAGATTACAAACTAATAAGTCACACAAATAAGAATAATTCAAAGGCATAAGTTGTGTGTGTGTGTGTGTGTGTGCGTGTGTGTGCGTGTGTGTGTGTGTGTGTGTGTGTGTGTGTATGAGAGTGTGTGTTGAAGTTCTGTCACAGCCTTTCATGATAAGAATGCTCAAAGCAGCTGATCACATCCCAGCTTCCAGGATGAAGAATGATTGCAGCTGCAGGGCTCCGATCTGTTAGGGCCATTTACAAGCTCTTGTTAACTTACAATTGTGCAGAGAGAGAGAGAAAAAGAAACGTTATGAATTATTAATGCACTTGCTGCCTGGGAGTAAAAAAATCGCAAAAAAGGAAGATCTTAAACTCTTCCAGCACAGCCTCCAACTCATGTTTGTTTCCAAGCAAGCTTGTAACAAAATACAGCCAGGAGAAAATTGCTTCCAATGATCCTTAATGTATTCTCAAATGAAACTAAGGCCTGAAGACTTAAAGAAAATGGCCAGTAAATGACACCATCCGGATAAGAGTGGAGGGGGCAGGAGGACTGCTGTGGGCTTTTATTATATGTCCTCAGAAGTTTGTCCTGGTTTGAAAATGTTTGTTTCCTTTAGACGCTCAAACTTCTCTCACGAGCGCCGCCTGAGAGTTTAGACCGAGTGTTTGTGAATATGTGTGAATGAAAGTGGGTCAAAGAAAAACTGGTCAGGATGTTTAAGAACTACTCAAGAGCCTCGCCTTCCACAAACTAGAAGCTGGAATATGCACTGAAAGAAAAAAAAATTATTTGAACAAACCTAGAAAATAATGTAATTTGTTACAGGTAATTTTATTAGTTTTGTTCCAGCTATAATTCTAAAATCGGAATTGTAGCTCGAGCAAACCTTTTCAAGCCATCATCAAACTAAAACCACCCAACACCTCAGTCCAGCCCATGAATGGAGGTTGTGTTTATTCTGGACTTCTGTGTCCAGAATAAACTTGTGGACATGAGATTCTGAACTGCCGTCTTAATCCAGGGAGTGAGTTAAAAGTGGGGTCGTACTTTGATCAATTTTGTAGCGTTCTACACATACACTTGATCATGAAACAAAGGCTTTTGATGAGGTAGAATAAGTAATTATTCATGTTCAATAATTAAATTCTGTTCACACTTGGAGGGGAATTTGGTACATTTAGGAAGTTCTTTGCCTAAATGAATTCCTCTGCTTGGTGCAACTACAGCTGAACCTCTAAAGCTGTGATCTCTGGGTAGTTTTACTGCATCTGAATTATTATTATTATTATTATTATTATTATTATTATTGATAAAAATGGGGGGAAAAAACAACTAAATAAAGTGATTAACAATTTTAGAAACTCACATTCTGTCTTGTTTGACTGACTGGTCAAACATCTCTCATACGTTGGTCATAGGAAACTGCATTTATGTAGAATATGTAGAATATATTTTTTTGTGGAAATTCAATTCTTCCAACACTTCTTTTTCAAAGACACTTTCTAGGTGAATAATTCTAGGAAAAGTGTCTTGGCTTCGTTGTTTTCCCTGATGCTAGCTTCCGCATGTGTCCGTTTGTGTTGGGGCGTTTTTAATAGCAGCAGCAGTCTGCAGTGTGAGCCGCATCGAGCTGTGTAAGAGAAAACCTTCAGTCCTTGATCCATGAAAGCCAGGCCGCTCTGCAAGGCCACCTCTTTAGCCCTGGCTTTGTGTTCAGCATACAGAGGCTGTTAATGATGCTGCTGCTGCTGGAATAGCAGCTGCATCCGGTGGAGGTGAGAACATGTTCCTTTCTTCTCTTTTCAACTCAATAATTTCCACGTTTTTAAAGGAAGAACTGCGAAGCAGAATCTGAACAGCTTGGTGTGGTCAGTTCTTGAAACACCCTGAATGTAAATGTGATGATGGGTTAATGCATCCTGGAAAATGGAGTTTGAGGAGGGGGGGAGATAATCAACTAGCAGCAGAAATGTACCTTGGGAAATATTTGTTCTCTTTAAACTTTTCCACATTTTTGTAAGTTGCAACTACAAACTACAATCTATGTAGATGATTCTGTGTTAATCATTTGCCAAGTAACCAACAAGCTGCAGCTGTACTGTCACTGTGTCACACTGTGTGTGAGACAGAAGCATGAAGTGCCGTGATTTGCCAAGAGCTGACATAAATTGCGTGTGTGTGTGGGTATGCACGCGCGTGTGTGTGTGTGTTGGGGGGGGGGAACTGATTTCACATCAGTTCGAAAAGCTAATGAATAGATTCATAAATACAAAAACGAAGGACATTATATCCATTAATTTCAATTTGTTTTAGCTAGATTCAGGGTCGGCACAAGGCAATGCGAGCTAAGTGGCTGCTAAGGGCCCCCACGCCACCAGGGGCCCCCCAAGAGCACCAAACTAGCATGATAGACAAATATAGATATATTTTAAACAACACTGAACATTGCAAACTAAATGCTATTGCACATAGAAAAACAATTTATGTATTTAAAAAAAAAATACTTAATCTATTCCTGTTTTGGCTGCTGCCACTGTAGGGGAAAAATAAGTTATTAAATTTAGTGTTTATCAGCTGATATTACTCTTAGTTTTTTTTTTTTAATTGCACACTTAAATACTACTCTGCATTTCAAAATCCAAATGATTTTTTTAATTTTTTTACTTCATTTCTTGTGTAAGCTTAAAATAAATAGTCGTAATAGCACTGGTATAATATATGCTAATTACAAATGATGATAATTAGATAGAGTAGCTTAGGAATTCTAAATCATCTGGTGTTGACATGTTAGTAAAAGAAAAAAAGATGGTTAGGGCCCCAAAAAGGCTTGGACCGGCCCTGGCTAGATTTATAAACTCACAATATAGTTCCCCAATTAATTATTGCATTTATTTATTTATTTATTTATTTGTTTGTTTATTCCAGTTAACCAAAAATGCTTTCTCAATTTCAGTTTAAGTTATTTCGCTGGTTTTAGTTATCTAACCTTGCAACTTAAATGTTTTATTAATGATGCATTAAAGTCAAAAATTTTTGAGGGGACACTTTAAAAACCACCTCTTTTATTTTCGGTTGATGACCTCTGGCAGGCGCTCTGCCTGCTTCGCGCGGCGGGTTAGTTGGTGATTCCCTGCGCACCGTGGCTGAGCTGCGCGCCTCGCCCCTTCAGCACCATGACGCTGAGATCACATCGGGAGGGCGGTGCAGAGGAGAGGAAGAGACAGAGAGAGAAAGAAAAAAAGGAGAGAGAGGAGGCTACGTGTTGCTGCGCAGCAACAGATAGAAAGAAGACCCAGAGAGGAACACAGAGAGGAATTCCCCACTGCTCAAACAGAAGCGGCTGTCAGGGCGTATCAGTCCTGTTCTTTTTCTCTTTCTTTTTTTCTTTTTTGGCTCCCAGAATTCACAGAAATAAATCTACAGCCTACCTGTAGGTGGAGGCGCTGCAAGCCCCTCCCAAATCCCCCCCCCCCACCCATCCTATGAATGAAGGATGTGAGAGCCGACGGCTGCAGCAGCAGTAGAAAGCCTCCGGGTGCATTCAGACACTTAAAGGAGTAGATAGTGTTCTCTGTCTGGAGGCAACACTCTCTTTAACAGCGGATCCTCTGGAACGGTGTCGCCCTCTTTCTGTTCGGTAGAAACTGGAATCAGTTCGGAGCTCGGAGGACAAAGGTCCAGAGGTTGCCCTCTGACTGCGATGAGCCGCCGCTAAACATGAAGAGTGTTTCAGAGAAATCGGTGAATTGATCGACCGTTTGAAGTAAGTTCTCTTTGTTTGAACAAGCTACAGAAACAAGCAGCTCTTCTTTGTCTTTTGGAATAGAGGCTTGGAAAGCAATGCGTTAGTTTAGGTATCTAAGTATGGAAACAGCTAATTAAAGCATCAAAGCCTTGTCATTGCGGGCAGTTGAACTAACTTATGCTTTCTTCTTGTCTGCCAATGTGTCTTCTTCGTCAATGTGTTTGGTCTGCCACTGTCTCTCTTTGTCTCTTCCTTTCATCCTTTCATTTTGTGCGCCCCGCATCTGTGTGTGTGTGTGTGTGTGTGTGTGTGTGTGTGTGTGTGTGTGTGTGTGTGTGTGTGTGTGCACGCGCGCGTGAGTGTGTGTGTCTTTCCCTCTTTAAAGGCATGACGGGTCAGGTCCTTAGGGACACGACCGCCGGGGCTCCCATGGACGACAACGCGGGCATCCGCATCAACGTGGGCGGCTTCAAGAAGCGTCTCCAGTCGGACACGCTCTCCCGCTTCCCCGAGACCAGGCTGGCGCGCCTCCTCCAGTGCCAGTCCAAGGAGTCCATCCTGGAGCTGTGCGACGACTACGACGACGCGGAGAAAGAGTTTTACTTCGATAGGAACCCCGCTCTCTTCCCGTACGTGCTCAACTTCTACAACACGGGGCGACTGCACGTCATGGCCGAGCTGTGCATCTTCTCCTTCAGCCAGGAGATCGAGTACTGGGGCATCAACGAGTTCTTCATCGACTCCTGCTGCAGCAGCGCCTACCACTGCAGGAAGATGGACCAGGACAGGGACGACTGGGACGACAGGAGCGACGAGGGAAGCACCACGTCGTCATTCGACGAGCTGCTGGAGTTCTACAACGACGCCACCAAGTTCGACAAGCAGGTGCTCGGGAGCGCGCGCAGGCGCGTCTGGTTGATGCTGGACAACCCCGGGTACTCCGTGGCCAGCCGCATCATCAGCATCCTGTCCATCCTGGTGGTGCTGGGCTCGATTGCCACGATGTGCATGAACAGCATGAGCGAGTTCAGCGTGCTGGACAGCAGGGGGGAACCCACGGAGGACCCGCGCTTTGAGACGGTGGAGCACTTCGGCATCGGATGGTTCACGCTGGAGCTTGTGACCCGGTTCGCGGTGGCCCCCGACCTGCTGCACTTCTTCGACCACCCGCTGAACGTCATAGACCTGGTCTCCATACTGCCGTTTTACCTGACGCTCCTCATCAACCTGGTGGTGGAGAGCAGCCCGGCGCTCGCCAACCTGGGCCGCGTGGCGCAGGTCCTGCGACTCATGCGAATTTTCCGCATCCTGAAGCTGGCCCGCCACTCCACCGGCCTGCGGTCCCTGGGGGCCACCCTCAGGAACAGCTACAAGGAGGTCGGCCTGCTGCTCCTCTACCTGGCCGTCGGCGTGTCGTTCTTCTCCGTCATGGCCTACACGGTGGAGAAAGAGGACAGCGAGGACCTGTCCACCATCCCCGCCTGCTGGTGGTGGGCCACCGTCAGCATGACCACCGTGGGCTACGGAGACGTGGTGCCCGTCTCCATACCGGGCAAACTGACCGCCTCGGCCTGCATCCTGGCCGGCATCCTGGTCGTTGTGCTTCCGATCACGCTCATCTTCAACAAGTTCTCCCTTTTCTACAAGAGACAGAAGCAGCTGGAGATCGCAATGAGAAGCTGCGACTTCGACGAGGGCATCAAGGAGGTCCCCTCCGTCAACCTGAGGAACTACTACGCGCACAAGGTGAAGTCTCTCATGGTCAGCTTGTCGAACATGAGCCGGAGTTCTCCGAGTGAACAGAGTCTGAATGAGTCGTTACAGTGAAGCTCGGCTCGGAGCTGTCCGGGGTGCTGACACCCGCTGGAGGAGGAGTTGCCTCTCTGTAGCTAAGTGCAATAACGTATCAATGTGTGTGTGTGTGTGTGTGTGTGTGTGTGTGTCAGTTCCGGTGAGACAATATAAAGATCACGTGCACTTTCTAAAGGAGCAACTCGGTTTTGTTTTAAGTGGGGTTCTGTGAAGAAGTGAACAGTAACTATTGTGGTGGAAAGATGTCACGTCACAGTGAGTCTGTGGAAAAAAGGAAATCCTCAGAGCCACTGAAGGCTGACAGGAAGTCACGTTTTACTATTTCAAAAATAACTCGACCCTCAAAATGTTCATGTCTTTGAAAATCAACACTGTTTCGTCGCTTTTTGTTTTTCTGCATTCAGTCTGTCTCCGAAAGCAGAGCTGGGAATGAGTATTACGGTTTTCACTTTGGTACTTAGAGAAGAGAGAGAAGCTGTAATATTTTCTCCATGTTAAATAATCAAACACAGCATGATCACAACTTGGCATTTTGCAGCACAGATGTGAAGTGCATAAAAGTGGGATATGGCAATGAATACTCTTAAACACAGGCTTAAAAAATATATGATTATATGACAAATAAAGCAAATTTTTACAAACCAGTGCACTCGATCTGTGCGAGATTGTTCCAAAGAAAACAAACTGCAGTGATTTAGTTTATGTGCGTGAAAGCAGCACACACTGCAGCACACACTGCACACAGCCTCCCACTGGCCTCCTTATCTGTAACTCCGTTCCTGACAACACTGATGCATTCTCAAGATCTGTCTGTTATCTGAGGAACCAGGTCTTCCTCAGACATTTGCTCATCACCTATATTGAGCCATAGCAAAATATGGATGACATAGGCGGTTCCAGACAGGGGCCAAATGAGAACAAAAGACAGTAAACCAATTTCTTATGACCACATGCACTGACAGGGAAACGGTGACTAACTGGTCCCTTGAATGAATTTCATTTTCTACTTTCACAGTTTTACTTTAACAGTGAATTAAAAATGAAAGTGTTGCAGCTTCAGCTTCAGCTGCATTAGAATAAGGTCACAGTTTTCAACTGCAAATAGCTCTCTGACTCTCACTTGATTAGGCTTATATTACGGCCCCATTTTTGTTTTATTTGGTTTATTCTTTTGTTCTGTGCCCTTTATGAAGCAACAATGTCTTCCCCGGGTTTAGAACCGACACTTCTCCTCCAAACATTCCAAACTCTGCTTTTGACTTGGACACAGACCTGCTTCACTTCCTAACTAATGGACCTGAGGTGACCTAATACAAAGATGTGAGCAAAGTTATTCACGAGTGATTTTAATAACATTTCTAGTTTAATTGAAACTCAGCAATTGTGAAATTTGTCTGGTTCTGTATTAGCAGAACACAGACAAAGGTTTGCACACATTTGTAAAGGAAGCTCAGCTGGTGATGTTTTAGGTTTGTTTTCTTTTCAGAGTTCCCAGCTGAAAATAAAACAAGATCAAGAAATTCAAAGTCTGTATAAGGAGGGGCAGGCAAATAATACACAGCTGCACCACGTTCATATAGAAATTTTCAGTTGAAGTTGTTTTAAATTGATAAACAATTTAAAATAGAACTTCCTGCCTGATCTGCTGTTAACCTTTCACTCTGAGAACTTTTTTCTTTCCTAAAACCTCACTGTGGTTTGCTATCATTCTACTGGAAAAAAAAAAAAAAAAAAAAAAAAAAAAAACTGCAAGTGATCATATCTTCACCGGGCCTCAGTTGAAGTGATTCAAAGTTTCCCCTGAAGGCCTCTTCATCAAAGTAGGCCAATCAGATCACACCAAAACTGATACCCCTGTTTGTGTTGTCTACAGTCTTAGTGGTCGTGTGGGCGTCAGTGTCACAGCGTCACACTGTTATCCACCATTCAGCTGCACTTGTTCTGACGATAAAAAAAGAAAAAAAAAGAAAATGTCCACATGAACCCCCTGGTGTTTCTCCAGTTGAAGGTAACTTGATGTGTAAATGTGGTGTTGCAACAGTACTTCAGATGTTTGGTCGAAACGAAATAACAAATTAAAAGAAAACTCCTGTTACATTTCCCTGTTTCATTAATGTCCAGAGCAGGAAGCAGCTCCCTTCTTTTACAGTCACACATGTAAAAGTGTTTAGTGATGACTGACTGACAGCGTCTTCAACACACTGACAGCCACACCAGCAACCGCTCAGAAGTGACATGTTGATTAAATTCCTCTTGCGGGAATTTGCCAGGATTTATTTATTTATTTATTTATTTTTTGCTGCATCATTACATTAGAGTCCGTAAAAGCTATTTTGGAGCTTTATCTTTTTACTTTGCGTCAGCAAAACTATTAATCTGCTACCACTGTTTAAGTTATTCCACTTTACGTCAGAATTAAAGATGTGATAAAAAACTGTTATTTTTTAGCTGTAAAAAAAAGACAATATGGGCAGTGAACTTTAGGACTACATTGCAGGATTTCACAAAAAAAGGAAAAAGAAAAGTAAACTTTGCTTCTGTTTCTTTGGTTTGATTTAATCAGAAAAGCAACATAAATCAATTTGATCATCTGACATTCAGACTGGGACAGATTTGGAGCTGGGTTGGCCAGAGTTTGACTCAGAATCATTACAGGTCTATTTGTGTTGAGTTATTGACAGAAAACTTTGATGAAACTCACAAATCATTTTAATAAAACCCAGAAAGCAGAATATATGGGCAACTTTTTCACAAAATTCAAAATAATCAATAATCCTCAATATTGAATTCTGACCACTCTGGTACTTCTTCACAAACTTTATTATTGCAAAATTTTCAAGAAATGCATGCAGTCCTCTGTATGTATGACACAAACCTTAAAATAGGAGTCTAATTAACAACAAACACAGGGACAGTTGATTTCTACCTTGATTATATGTATCTATAGGATATGATTTTGTCTGTTTATGTAGTCAGTTCTGAGTAGCAGCTGCAAGAAGAACACATGACTGAATAGTTGAATAGTTTAAGTTACTCTTTTGTCTAAAGATTGTAATTTTTAGATCTAAATATCAGATCTAAAAAAAATAATCATTTATTTCCAGTTTTAAGCTGGATGGGAAATATTTGCTTATTTCCTATACTTCATTCTCTTTCATCTGAAAGAGAATGAAGTTCTGGTTCTGGTTCATTGCAGCCCTACCAGGAGTTCCTACAGCAGCTGCTCTCAATATTCAACAAAGCGCTGACTAACTGGCATTGATTTCAGTTTAAAGGATAAAGAGGCAATTTCTACAAGTAGCTTGCAGCACTAAAAAGAGTCAATATTTTTTTTCTTTTGGCATTTCATAATTTAACCTGGGTTAGCTTCACTGACTTCCCATCGAGACTTACTGCTACGTTACAGAGCATGTGAGTTTAAAATATAATCTACTGACGCTACAAGAAAAATCTTCTGATTAATGCTGCAGATTCTGGAACAAACATTTATCTGCTGTTCTCTCATCTTTAATAAGTTCATTGAAACCTGTTAATTTTTTTCCCCTCATGTAAAACAGTTTTTTGCAGTCTCAATTTGCAAACACAAATCTTCATGAAAGAAAAAAAAGACGTCAGGCTTGAAAGAACACAACATAATATTACAGTTAGGTTTAAATAATCACAGAAAAACAAAGCACAACAGCAATTTTCTCTTTCATTTTACTTCGAAGGTCATCCTGAGCTCTTCTTCAGTCCTAATGAGAAAATGACGGCGTTCCAAGAATGTTTTCCACACGTTTCCGGTGAGCTCGCCTCAATTAGGATTTTCCCTTAGAGTCCAATTAAATCTGCCTCCGTTTGTTTACTTCTAAACCTTTAAAGATTTCCCTCCTGGGAGAAAATCCACCGCACTGCTGCAGAGCCGGACCGCCTCAGAAACTCAGTTATTGATTGTAAACGAGTTCACAGTGACGACCGGCGACATTTCACCAAATCAGGGCAGAGAAACAATGTGTGTCCATTTTCAGTCTCACATAGAAGAAAAATGAGGTAGAAATGACAGATTTTTGTGTGTTGTCACTTAGGTCCAAATATTCTTACAATTTCTAAGTGTGTATGTGCAGGGGCGGTCCTAGGCTGTTGGTGGCCTGGGTGAACAACATTCAACATCCCCCTCCCCTCCTGCTCCTCTCTCTGTTTTTTCAAACAATCGGATGATTTAAATGTCCAATTGCCAGCACTGGCACAATGAAAATGTATTTTATCATCTTATTTGTAAAAATGTGGAGGTGTGATGAAGCACACTTTTACAGAGACTGAAGGCAATGTGGTTGCTTTTAGTATTAAAAATCACTCAGGTATTTGATGTGTAAAAGAAAGGCAGGTCTTCCTAAACTCATTTCACCACAGACTCCAGCTAAAGCCACGACACGACGGGCAGAATATTCATCTTCCCCTGGTATGATCACAATCATCCACCCTTAAATTAAAGTTCATCACGCATGGAAAGAAAAGAGAGAGCAACATCAGTTAAGCTCCTTTAATCTGTAATCCCTCACGTGTGTTCATCAAAGGTTTCAGAGGTGCGCTTGATATTCATGGGTAATTATCAAAGCGCAGAAGAACGTTCTGATGAAGTGCCTGTTGCTGAAACAGAGGCGTCCTATAGAAGTTCAACGTAAGTTTATGTGGTTTATTTTTCATTAGGTGTGAACAAAGACAAGCAGAAGCAGCACAAAAACAATCCTAAAAATGTGGGAAGAAAAGCATAATTATTAACAGAGGGTGGATGGGGAATAAACTAAGCAGTATTTTTTCTGTCCTACTGTGTGTATGCGCACGCGCGCGCGCGCGCGCGCGTGTGTGTGTGTGTGTGTGTGTGTGTGTGTGTGTGTGTGTGAAAGTACTTTACACAAACGCAGCAGACAGTGTGTCTAATGGGGAACTTATTAAAGCTGGCAGCACAGGCGTCATCTCCAGTCTGCTCTGTATTGGTGATTTAAACTCTGTTACTAAGCAGGCGTTCCGTGTTGTTGCACATTACCATCTGCTGCCATGCCTTCACTTTAAACAGAGTGGGAAGATTGGATCCTTTCAACGGCCTCGTCTATTTCTCTCCCTGGCACTTTTTTTTTTTTGATATCTTCCCACCGTGTTTCATCTCCAGAAATAGTCGTCACAGAGATCACGGCGTCGCTAATTATCACACGTGAATCTCATACCAACACAGAACGCAGGTAATGCAGAGAAAACTAGATAGATTCCAGACCAGGAGCAGAAAAATTTAAATAAAACCCATGGTTGACGTTTTTAAATACACCAAACTATAACTTTTAAACTATTACAGCTCATATGAAGCTCATTTGCTGCCCCAGGTTTTGCTTTTTTTTCGCCACTAATCTTCATCTATACCCAGCTTTATTAATCAGACAATTAGACAACAGCATTATAAGTTTTCTTCCTGATAATCCAGTGGCTACTTATTTTGGATATATCAGACAATTATATTCATTTCATATAATTATGTTTGTCTATATCCATTTAAAAATGTGAAAGGCATAAATTTGATCTTTTAAATACTGGCTGGGTTTTGCGAGGATTGGGTTACAATAAGATAACTGGAATACAAAAGAGTTCAGCAGCTTCACTGGGCTTATTGTCAAACTGAAGTGCCTTCAGTTTGACAATCAGAAATTCTAAAAACAATGCAGAGCTGTCATTAGCTGTTAACTGGGAAGTTCAGAGTTTCTCCCTTGACAACAATTTGCATAAATTAGACATATGAGCAATATTTATCCATATAATTCAGCCGTAGTGGAGGAGAGAAAATAACATAACTGCAAGCACAACCAGCTTAATTTGCATGAATCATTTTCTATTTCACTGTGTAGAAAAATACTCTTATATGCATTTCAAACTAAAAGATGATTTAACACTCCTTAAAAATCGCAGTTTCAAGATATTCAGTTTTTTTTTTCTTTAGCCAACTACTTAAATAAAACCAGGGCAATAAAAGCATATTTTTCCTTGGATTATAATTGAAACAAATATTATTGTAATCAAACCGTGAAGTAACCACGTTGTGTTTAAATGCTAGTCTGTAAAAACTGCGTTTGGCCTTGTTCCAGAACCTCCCAGCAGGCATTAAAATATTGATGAACTGCAGAGATTGTGGACAAATTGTGACATTAATGCATCTTCATTTTAAAACATCCAATCCTTCTGCTTAAGTTACTCGTCCTTAGATGCAGATGGTTTTGGATCTGACTCAAAGCCGTTAAAAAAAATAAAATAAAATAATGGATATTATTGGCAATCTCTCCCAGATTTTAATAAAATAAAAAACAAGTCAGTTTAGATTCCCTGAAAGGAAGGTCAATGTATTTTTAGTCAACATCCAACAAGAAGTATTGTGGTTTGTATGGATGTTAAATAAGGAGTACAGAGAGCAAAACGCTTCAGTTCCACAAGTCTGTTTGTTTTTAACAGAACCTTTTCACTCTGAAAGAACTTAAACTAAATGCAACCTTAAGAAATTAATAACTGTGTGTCATTTAATTTCAGCATTCAGTGAAGGCCTCACAGGTTTATGACTTTACCAAGACGAAGGATCACAGCAGGAAGATCCAGAGGGAAGTTATGGAGGAGTTTAATACAGGGTTAGGTCTTAAAAACAAGACTGTAACGTTCAATCAATCATGCAAAAATATAAAATGTATGGCACATCTACGGGACATCCACCTAACCATGCCAGTGGAAGCATCACATGGTGGGTTAGTGTCGCTTCAGCTCAGAAACAGGAGTGGTTCTGATTTGATGAGAAGATAATGGATGGAAGTAAAACCTGCAGAAAAACTGAGACGGTGGAGGAAGGACAGCAACACTAAAACATACCAACAATGCATTGGTTTAGATTAAAACACACACATCTGGTAAAACGACCCAGTCAAAGTCCAGACTTAAATCCAACTGAGAAACTCTGACATAACTTGAAAACTGACCACAGATGGTGGTCAGTTTTCAAGTTGACTCACCTTATGGGATTTTACAAAGAATGGGAATAATTTTCAGTTGAACTACAACATAAAATCCTCCATAAAATACAGCGAAGTGTTCAG